CGGAGCCACGCCGCGAGCCTCGGCACAGCCTAGGGGTCATGCGGCGCCACACCGCGGGCCTCGGGTGGTCATGCAGCGCCACAAGGCGGGCCTCGGGTGGTCATGCAGCGCCACAAGGCGGGCCTCGGGTGGTCATGCAGCGCCACAAGGCGGGCCTCGGCTCAGCCTAGGGATCATACGGAACCACACCGCGGGCCTCGGCTTAGCCCAGGGGTCATGCGGCGCCACAACGCGGGCCTCGGCTCAGCCTAGCCTAGGGGTCATGCGGAGCCACGCCGAGAGCCTCGGCACAGCCTAGGGGTCGCGGCGCCGCGCAGCGGGCCCGGTGGCGCCGGTTCAACGCCCGGTCGCGGCCCGGGCCGCCATCGATCCCTTCGCCCCCTCCCCCGCGCCGCCAGCCCCGCCCACCCCGCGCCCAGCAGGGCCCGGGGGCCGTACCGGCAGCCCGTGCAGACGGGGCGTGGTGGCCGCGACGAGAGCACAGCGCGGCGCAGCACTGCACGGCGCAGCACAGCGCCGCCCGGTGCTCGAACCCAAGCCCTCTGTCACGAATACGTCCCCCGCAGACGGTCGCCGCCGTCAGACGCTGCTGAGCCTGCATCAATCAGCAAGCTGTGCGGCGACCCTTTGCTTCCAGGAGGGCCCCAGAGCCGTGCGCCGTAGATAACGGCATGCAAATTTCACAGGCGGAGCCCACACGACACACACACACTCGGGTGACGACGCTGCCGCGCTGCTGCCGCCCGACCTGAAAGGGGGCCACGCCGAAGGGAAAGGGAGCGGGCCTCTTCACTTGAGCTGGCCCGGCCAGGCTGGGCTCAGCGCGCTATCGCTTCCTGGTCTGATAACCCTCCAAGTGTAAGGCGGCCCCTCCCCACTCCCGGCCCCTCCCGCGCGCGCCGCGCGCCCATTCAAACGTTGCCGCGCGGCGCGCAGCGCCCGCCAGCGCCGCCAACCTGCGGCCGCCGCACAGCGCGCCGCGGCACACAGGGCCGCCAACCTCTCGGCGCCAGAGACCGCGTCCGCGTCGCGCGCGGTCGCGCTGCGCTGCGCTCGCCGGCTCGGCCGCTTCCGACGACATCCAATTACGAGATCTGGCCGGCGACGCCCTCCCTCCGAGCGAGACACGTAAACACGCACAGCGTCCGTGACTGCGACCAGAGCAGGGGGAAGTCCCGGGGGTGGGGCCCCGGGCCGGGCCCGACGCCGCCGAGGGAAGTCCTTCACAGCCCCCCCCCCCTCCCCCCAAGTTCCGGCCCGGCCGCCGCGCCCCTCCTGTCGCCAGCCCAGAAGATCGTCCCCGTCGATAGCCGGATCGGGCTGGTTGGCCGGCGAGGCGAGCCTGCGCCGCGGCCGCCGAGGGCTAGCGCTTCTAGGTAACTGGAAACGGACGGGGGTGGTGCAGAGGGAGGGACCGTCCTCAAGACACGAGAACGGACAGAGGAAAGGCGAGATAGGGTCACGCCGTACCCCCCAGCCATGGACAAGAGGGCCATCTGCGACCAGAAAGAGCGTCACATACATTCTCAGAAGATGAGCCAGGAGCACTGCCGACTGATTCAGAAGAGCGTTCAAGAGGCGTTGCCCCACGGGTGCAACAAGGAGAGCGGTCTTCTGAATCGGGCGGCTGGCATGAACAGAAGCGGTCTTGGGCGGTGGGACCGTGCGCAAGAGCCAAAAGAGACGACAGAATCGACCAGCGGGGCCGACCTGAAAGCGCAAGCAAGAGCGAGAGTCGGCCACCTGTCGCTTACAGACAAAAATTCGCAGAGCTGCGCCAAGAAAGAGACGCGGAGGCTTTCGGCACGAAGCGCCTGCGTTGAGTATGCCTCCTCCGATTGAACACCGATCGGCGACAGAATGATCGCGACGTGATCGGAAAGAGCTCAGAAAATGATAGGAACGTCATCAGAAGACGATCGGATGTTCGGACATGATCGGGGTCATCAGATAATGACTGAGATGATCGGTACATGATCGAAAGCAGATTGATCAGTAAATGATCCGGAGTGATCGCAAATTGCTATTTTATATGAGTTAAGGCGCATAATCGGGGGATTGGTCGAAAATTGAACAGGAGTGGTCGCGGAAAGATCCACTCTCCTGCCGCCTCTCTACGCCACCGTACGCCCAGAGCGACACATCCGCAATCGGCTCGCTCGTCACGAGAGCTCTCCCCAATCACTTTGAACCGGGGGCCTTTTCCTCATGACACGATCAAACGTGAAGAGCAACAAACAACAGCGACCACCGCCGCAGAAAAGCCGTACACAATCAGTTTCCTAGCAGGGCTCTCCTCATCCCGCAGGCAAAAAATGTGCACACATGCACACAACACACGGTATGGTGTGCCCGAGCGCGGCAGAGGCCGAGAGGCACGAAACAGTTGCGATGATAAAAACTCCTCCCCGCCACGCCGCCGCTGCCGCCGCGCTGCAGGTCACGCCGCTCCACAGCGTGACTCACACCCGCCGCGCCACTCACGGGCTGCGCAGGGGGGCTGGGCCCCACGGGCTGGGCTTGCACACAACAGGACAGCTTTCAAAGGTGCCAAATGGGGCATCAATGGGAGGGGGGGGAGCAATGTTCTAATGCCCTTTAATGAACAGGTACTGAAGCATTTAGTACGAGATGAAACCAAAAACCAGCGGAGAACCGTGAGCATGCGTCACAGTAGATTTGGCGGAGGAGTCGATTTTTAGGTCCTAAATTAATTCTTACCCTAGCGATTAGTCCCTCCTTTCGAGCGAAAAATTCATAAAACCTCAATATCATGATTAGAATTTCGGGGGAGGTGGTTTCTTGTAAGTAAAGGGTTGAATTTCAACAGGAACGATTGTTTGTTTAGCTCAACTCCGCCGCATAGCACCAACATACGAAACAAAAAAGGTAAAAACGTCGAATGAGGCAATTTTATCACCTGTCAATTGCAGAATGTTGGAGAAAAATCTCTTCAGGGGTTCGCGCGAACGATAACTAATTGGCTTTCTTTATATACTTTAGTCGATAGACACCTCTGTCGAGGAAAATTATGATCGATTTTCACCACAGCGAATGGGCCGGGGCCGGACACGGGCTCCAGTACAGTCGAGCAAGCCGTCGTCACGACCCTAGTTGAAGGTCAGTGTTTTGGGGTATTGTTAGACTAAAGCTAGTATTTCCTCAAGTTAGCAGAGCGCGGATGAGGTAGGCGCAGTCAGCAGAGGACACATAGTAGAGAATGTCACTAGAAAAACCCTGGATTGTTACGCAGTAAGCAATTAACATTTCATGTTTCTATGAGACAGAGACGTCATTCAGGACGAAGAAAATAGTGGCAGATGAAGTTCCCGATACTTTTCTCGGATACCCAGCAAGTGACAAAGAAAACGTTGAGTGTCGGAGTCACCCCAATAGCCTGAAGGTTACACTGTTATTTCAAAGGCGTCCCGTCAGAGTGCGACAAAGGTGTATGCTACAGAAACCAGTGCGACTTAAGTCGCAGTCTGGGCATACACCTTTGTCGCACTGCCACCATACACCTTTGTATGCATAATATGCCGGACAGCCCCTAAGGCCCTGCCCAGCCCCCTGGGCAGGTGTTTGGCCTCCATACACCTTGAGCTGGGTAAAATAGTACACGGTTTGAGGGAGCTGTGAGCCGTGGGCTC